AGATTTTTTTTTTCTAATAAGGTTTTAACGAGGTACATTATCTATGGACATTCAAGGGGGGGTGTTATAAGAAATATCAAATTATGGTAGATGTCTACTCTTCCTCCATGATCTTCATCTCAAATGCTTAATGACATATTCAATGACATTTTTTTTTATGTATAATGACATATTCAATGACATATTTTCTTCACTTTTCATGCCTATATAAAGGCCTTGTAATAGATTGAAAAATACACACAATTGAAGAAGAAATAAAATCTCTTCTCTCTTTCTCTATATATCTCTTAACTTGTTTTTCCTTGTTCCATATTGTTACTTTGAGCTATATTTCATAACAAATCGAGGGGAATTCAATACTAATTGCAGTTTTCTAAAATCATAACCCTCTCAACTAGCAAGCAATTCTATTGTTCCCCGTCTAGGGGTAATAAATTTGAAAGAAAAAAAAAAAGAAATAAGTAAATGATAAAACTTGAAATATTTAGATTACAGATGACAAGTTACCAACAGACAACAGTAACATCGAGTCCTTGTCGGAGTATATGCTAAATCAAACAACAAGAAAGATTGGAAAGAGATAAATAAAGTGGATAGAATAGAAGGTTCCAAAAAGAAAGGAAAACCAAGGGAAGTGGAATAATGGAACAATAACTAACAGGAAAACCAAGGGGAGTGGAATAATTGAACAATAACTAACATAGGTTCCACAAATATAATAAAGATTAATAATGATATTATACAACACTGGTGTATGCACAACTCAATCAGTGCCAAAGCTTTGTGTAGTTCAAAAGTCCCTCCCTCCATGGAAAAGTTCCAGTTATCTAGAATACAGAAAATAATCATACAAATAGTAACATATGAACTTATCCCATTAAAACATCACAAAGAATGGGAAACTATCATTAAAAAGGAGAAGGTGGGAGACCCTTCTTTTCTGAACCAGGTACTTCTTAGGTACTTCTCCTTCAACCCTTGCCTTGCTTTTGTGCTCGGCCACTCTCTGTTCTTAAGTCAAAAACCAAGTAAATGCACTGAGACGTGAATAATGTGCACTATCCTTGTGAAAATGGTTTGTTTCGAGATTTCAGTAAGGATAAGCAAGTAATCTTCGACTGGGAGCTGGAGGGGCTAATCCAGGGATGTCCCGGATGTCTTTGTTATGTGGGTTTACAATCTGCAAATCCAAAAGTTATAGTAGTTTTAGCCTCAATATATGTTATTATTCCACCAAATACCAATGATAACATAAATCAAATAGAATTTTGTTTTTGAGGGGCAAAGCGTGATCAAGCCTTGTGAAGAAGTGAATAATGGGTTCCATCAATGGTACTTCTCCAGTTGTGAAGTCTCCCATAAACTGACGCTTTTTAATTTCTATGACTGCTGCTACCAACTGGGACTAGAGTTGAAAGCCTTACCTCCAACCAAAACCCTTAAGGCACACACTACTAACAATCAAATGGTAATGCTGCACTAATGACAAAATAATGGTAATGCAAGTTCTTAAAACTAACATCAAATTTGCATTATTATCAGATATCTCTATACAAAAGATCAGCTAACCCACCTTGCACTGCAGTTTCCTAAGTGCAACTGTGACTTCTTTACTATATCAGTACTTCATAATTGGACTAACTAGTAAACATTCATAAAATGCAGCACAAACATTGGATAAATTAGATGCAATAACAAAAACCTTATTAGGATAACTATCAATAGAACCTTTTTTGGGAAGACTAGAAGCTTAATTGCGCTATGCTAGATACTTCATATGCTGTAGTTTATGTGCCAACGTACCTATGATGACAGTTTGAAGTAGGCCATTAGGCCCTCTAACAGTTTTATGGTTAAAAGGGTCAAGAAACTGTATTATGAAGTGCTAGATGGGCACATAGCCAAATAAAGCAAAAAAGTTGTAATTGCCCGTATTGATATTAACATTTTAATCTCAAGTATAAGACCACTACAATGTTGCAAGCTGGATGAATTTGAAGGTGGCAAACGAAGAACTGTTGAAATTCAAATGATACTTGGATATAGCTTAATACCAGAAAAAATTACTTGATAAGTAATCCTAATATTGTTTAAGGGCATTGAAACAAAAATCATTTGGAACTGCTACAGAAGAGGGGGGAAGGCATCTGACCTTCACAATAATAATTGTTATGACCCCAACCACAATCAGAAAGAGCAAGCCCATAATACAACGATCAGTTGCAACCTAAAGAAGAATTTTATTTAGAGTCACAAGATGACATAAAAAGAAAAGGTAATGAAAGGGGGATTGTACAATTTAGAAATTGACCTGCCTACCGAGTTCCTTGACCAACTGCGTAGCCTTCTTGATCGAAAAATGGATCGAGTCTAGCTCATTGACTATCCGGCTCATTTGTTCAGTCTGGGCAAGCAGGCACATATAAGACATAGGATGAAGCAAGGGCCACAAGAAAACAATATAAGATCACGGTCTTGCATCTTAAACATGTCCATTTTGTAAAATAAGCATACCTGTGCCTTCAGTGCTGCAGCAGTCTCTGTTCCAACATTTACAGTTTCATGAACCACCTGTGAAAAAAAGAGAGCATGTAATCTACATAACAGGGAAGCAAAAGAGTCAAAAAAACTAGTTTACAGGATTCACTTCTCAAATGGCATCATATTCCCTGCTTTACTAGCTCCTAGTACCAATGAGCAATGTGCAGGAAAAGAAATGTCTGTTTAATCTACTGGCTAAGATACCATAAGTCATTACTCATTTCAGCGGTTTCACATGCTGATGATGAGTTTGATGACATGTTAGGGCTTTGTCTCGGAATCTTTTAGAAGTGGAGCAAATGAAATATTGTATTGTTCTTAACCTAATTTTTTTAAAGGAAAAGAAGAAAAACTATTTTTGTTTGAACCAGATTTCATTTAATCCTTTTCTAGCTATAATTATACCTAATCAATATTATAGTCAACCTTAGCTTGGGAATTTAGTAGTCCAAAACATTCACAGAAAAAGCAGATGATAGCATTTCATATGGTATGATGTTGCAATGAGTAAAAGCTTATGTTAGATAGCGATAAGGGTGGCATGTGGGCCGGTTAGGACCGGGCCCGGCCCAGGACCGCAAGCCCAAATGAGCAGTGGGCCTAAACGGTTCTAACCGGATAGGACCGGGACCGTGGGGAGGTGGGTTGGATAGTGGGCCGGTTCCATAGGCGAGGCCCGCGAGACCGGGACCGGTTGGGACCGGGACCGGCTGGGAAGTGGGCCGGTTCAAGCGATCCTAAACGGGCCTATCCGGGCCCAAGGGCTAAATTTTTTTAAAAAAAGAATCTGCCACATTATAGCCTTTATGGCATTTAAAATATGGCCGTTTTACCTGCAAAAATAGCCGTTGGCTATTTATAAATAGGCATTTAACCCCCCCAACTTTGTTTTAACCCCAATGTTTTTAGAATTACACTTTTTCTTATATATATAGCTTATATATATATATATATATATATATATATATATATACTATACTATATATACATCTTATATCGAATATAGTTTATATATATACATACTATACTATACTATATGTACATCTTATATATCTTATATATATATACATACTATAATATACTATATATACATCTTAAGATATGTATATATATCGAATATATCTTATATATATACTATAATATACTATATATACATCTTAAGATATGTATATATATCGA